GGTTTTTTTTTTTTTTTTTTTTTTTTTTTTTTTTTTTTTTTTTTTTTTTTTTTTTTGTGTGTGTGTGTGTCAATTTCTGATTATCGTTCTAAAGTTTTTAGGGTCTTAAAATAAATATACTCTTAGGTGCACCTTTCATAATTGTTAGCCCGACTGTTGCTCTTGGAACTTTTCGTAAGCTACCTAACCGAATGTGCTGTAAGTTTATATTTTTGGTCTTTTGGCTTTCTCGATCACTTTTATATACTAATTTATTGATCGAAACCAAATCTGTTTTAACAAGCAAATTCAAGGCTTGGAGTATTGTTTCTGGCATGTCATTCTCTGGGGCCTATCTTGTCTGACCAACAGTTTAATTATTCATTTTTTACATTATTGTATGATACCGTCAAATTGAATGCATATATGAAAAATATTGGATAGATGACTTTCCTGTTGGCCTTTAGTCTTCTCTGCAAGGTTGGAAGATTTAATTTAATGTTCCTTTCTGTAGACTGATTGCATCGTCAGAATCTCAATACGTGATGGAAGTGTGCTTGGATGGGTTCTCCTCCCAACTCTGAGGTTTTGCTTTTATCACTTTGGACTTTAGCAGAATTTTACTGAGGCTTCACATCATCTGTAGAAATTCACATTAATCGTACTTGTATTTTCTGTTACAGACGGAAATTGTTGCAAGGCGGGAGACAAGTAAGCTCTTTGATCAAAATTGAAAGGCTATGATTCCCTTGATTATGGTCGTGTTGTGATATGATATATTTATTGGACGATGCATTTGACAAGTTTTCGAGGAAATCTAAACATTCTAGTATCATTTTCCCATTTTCCATCACCTAATTTAGTTGGACCGATTGTTCTTCCTTGCAGATTGATGTTCTAAATGGAATTGCATGGGATAGCGGCAAGAATCGCCTTTTCGGTGAGGAATCAAGATTGTTTGGTATCCTAATTGTTCGTTCTTACTTTCAAGTCATTTTCAATGTGAAAGCATACCAAATTTCTTAAATGCAACGGCTATGTTCATTGATCTTTGGATTACTCAAGTCATTGATGTCAAAAGATCACGTCGTTTTGATGGTCCAAAGTTTTTGAGTTCCCTTTTCTAAATCAATTGTTTAAGCTCTAGTTTGTATCAGCATCTTCTATGAACTGAACTACCCCACTCGAACTCGAGTCATTTGTATATGCTCATGTATATCTCCACTCCTCTTTCAGTGACAGGGAAGCTATGGCCAAAGCTCTTTGAAATCAGAGTGCAGCCATCGAAGGAGCATTATGGTGTTGGAACGATAAAGCAGCTTTGTTTGCGAGAGGCAGTACATTTTCACTAGCTTCGCTCTAGATGGCCATTTCCATGAACAAGAAGGTCTACATCCGTCCGACCCAATCAAACAAATACGATACACTCAATTAACTCAACATTTTTCTCAGGTAATCCTCTGCCTGCACTTGGCATGATAGTGAAATCGACCACTTGTTTACACCATGTTTGTAGTTTCAACTACATTACTAAAGTTACATAGTTATAACTTCATAAATAAACAGAGTCAGAGGCAGGTAATATTTGCAGGATTTGAAACGTTATGGGGATCTTTGAGCTTTGGACACTTTGGATTTCATGTAGCTTTAGTTTATAGCATACCACTGTAATTTTTTGGTTGTAATATGTTCTAATGGCCTCACATCTATGACCAGTCTTTTAATTTTTATTTATTTAATTAATTTCACAATAAGGTCAGCCTTAGGTAATAGAGTTCTGTATCTTCTGCATTAGGCACAAACTGCCAGCTTTCTCTGTCCTTTTTGCCTTTTGTTAATAATGTTATTGATATTAAGAAAACAAAATTGCAATTCACTTAATTTGGGTAATCTTGAAGTCTTTCAGAAAACATAAATAAAAGGGATATGATTAAACATATTTATGGTCTTCATAATTATATCTGTAAGAATTTATTTGAAAAAGAAATGTCTTTTAATTTTTTAATGGGTAATACTTAAAATAAATATAAATGCTACAAAAAGAGGTGAAATATAAATGCTACAAAAGAAGGTGAAATATAAATGCTAAAATATTTCTAGAGTCATGATGCCAAAAAAAAGGTTTCATAGGTTGATGTTGACAAAAATATCAAATATTCTAAATTTGAAATATATATATATATATATTTTGTAGATCAAACTATTAGAATGATAGTTTAGGTTACAGTATCATTTACTCTAAAATTAAAATGCATAATTGTATCTATGTTAATACCACTGTAAATTTTAATCTATGAAGTGGCGGTAGATGACTTTTGTCCATATACCGATAAGATTTTTGTCATTTTTTTATGAATGCAAAAATGTGTTAATTTACTTTTTAAGATTTTATGGTATATTTTAGATATAGTACTAATAAAACTATTAATTTTTTTAGTTAAATGATATTAATTAAACTTTTTAAAATTAAAATAATGTTCACTATTGAAAGGTTTTTTTTTTTAAATAAAATACTAACGGTTTTAATTTTTTTAATTAAAAAAAAAGATTAACTGTATTTTAAAACTTTAAACCCAAAATATTTTTAGTTTATATTTTGGTGTTTGCCGCCACTCAAGCTAGTTGGTTATTAGTGACCAAAAGATTCGAACTACGCGACGGAATTGTAATGATCTTAACTTCCTTCCCTAATCCTTCTGCTTCGAAAACTACATCGCCCTCTTTGTTCAAGAATTCTACACTCCATACTTCCATCTCTCTGTCTCTCATTCTCTCATTCTCTTCCACACCATGGCGTACAACTCTTCTTCCATTCACGAATGGCTATCAAGCCGAACCGCATTGGGAGTCAAGCTATGGCTTCTGATTCTAACTTCCGTTCTGGTATTTCTTCTTTTCCTTGTCATTTTTACCTTCATTTTTCACGTCTGTTTCCGTCAACGGAGGCGGAATTGGAACAGTCGCGGCTATGATCGCGAAGCTGCGATTTCCACGGAGATGGAGATGAACATAAAGAACGGTTCCGTAGATCGGTTCTCACGGCATGGCAGTCTGAATATTCAGCGTAGTATCGTCACAAATTGGGAGTATTCGGCCGGCCAATACTTTCCTGCGGCGTGTAAGGACCAGTGGAGAAGGAACATATTTGCATTGGATGAGATCGTATTAGCAACCAACGGATTCAGCGGAGAGAATGTCATTAGCATCGAAGATTTTGATGTTGATTACTTCGGAAATTTGGTCGATGGTTCAAAAGTGATTATTAAGATACTCAGTGCAAATAACAGGTCTGTTCTGTTTTAATATTTGAATCTCAAAAGTGATTATTACGATTAGCCACAAAGTGCTAATTCAACATATACCTAACTACTAAATCCGGATAATCCATGTGTTTGGAATATTAATTTGTGTATTTCTCCCGAATCCATGTGTTTGGAATCTAGAAATTGAGAATTAGCTCCATCTAAGCTTAGGGTTTATGTTGATGTAAGAACATTAGGTTTTTTTTGTTCATATTGTAATCCTCATTTATCAGTCTTGGAGAAAACGAGTTCATCAGAGAAGCAGAGAGAATTCAGCATGTTAGCCACAAAAATCTGATTAAGTTGCTTGGATATTGCACTCAAGGAATTGCTAATAATAGGTAATGTCTATCTCTCACCCTTTGTGGCTAATCGTTTCGATGAATGTGAATGTCTTCCTCTGTTAAGACTTGTCTTCCACAGGATGTTTGTTTATAAAAATGTAGATAACGGGAATTTGCACCAGTGGCTTCATGAATGTCCACAGAATGACTTTAGCCCTCTTACATGGTCCATTAGGATGAACATTGTTCAAGGAATTGCAAAAGGGTAAGATCCCACAAGTGCATCCTAAGTTAGTTTTGATTGTTTGAATCTTAAGAAATGAAAATTGATGTAATAGAAATGTGATGGATGACTCTGCTGATTTGATTACACCGTGGGACTATTTGTGTTTCTGCAGATTAGCATATCTTCATGAAGATGTGGAACCACAAATTCTTCATGGCAGGCTAAGATCCAGCTGCATATTACTTGATCAGCAATGGAATCCCAAGATTGCCAGTTTCGGTCTAGTTGAGCTGTTGCCATCGGAGTACTCAGCAGGAGCTTTGGTTGGAGAAACGTTAGTGGTCTCACCTTTTTTTTCCTTTCCTTTCCTTTCAAATACTGTTCGAAGGTCGGCTAAGGTCGGTCACTAAACACCCTTCGTAAAAGAGTGTAGAGACCTCTCCCTAGCAAACTGCGTTTTAAAAGTCTCGAAGGGAAATCCAAAAAGAAAAGCCCCAAAAAAAAAATAATGTCGGCCAACGGAAATGAAATTTGTTTATATTCTCAGGCATGAATCTCTTGAAATTGGATCAACTAATCCATTCACAGAACAGAATGATGTTTACAGCTTTGGTATACTTCTCATGGAGATTATAACGGGAAGAGCTCCAGAGAACTGCAATCAATCACAAGTATGCTTCATACACTTTCTTGTTGTCATATATTGGATGATACAATGATGAATTTGTTGTGGAAATTTGTGTTAGAAACAGAGATTGATGGAGGTTTTTGAATAAAAAAATGCAGCCAGATTTGATAGAGTGGGTGAAATCAATGATTGGGAGTCAAAAGGCAGTTGAAACAGTGGATTCCAAAATGGAAGAAAAGCCATCCTCAAAGCAACTTAAACGGATGCTCTTAATTGCCCTTCGCTGTGTTGATCCAGACGTACTGCACAGGCCTACTATGGGTCAAATCCTTCTCATGCTTCAGCCTCGCGACCTTTTACTCGCCGATGTACGTATTTATATATATACACACACACACGCAAAATTAAGTTTTTTTACTAACAATTTTTTATTGACGTGTATTTTAGGGCGGTGAAATCCGAACGGGAGAGTCCTTGTGAAGCTTGGCTAATTATCATTATATTAAGCGCTGAGTTCTTTACTTTAGATTTATTTTCCCCATTTTTTATTACATTACACTTGTTCATATTCCTAATTTTTCATTCTAATTCCTTTTTATAAAAAATAAAAAATAAAAGTAACTATTATATTTCATATTGGTTTGAGAGAAAAGTGAAACACCCTTTCCGAAAAGGGTGTGGAAACCTTTCCGAAACACCCTTTACGAGGGTGTGGAAACTTTTCCCCTTTTAAAAATTTTAAGAAGAAGCGGGGTAGCTCAAGGAATATGATATCGACTAGCTACGTACAGTGTCAAAGTTTACACCACTATTTCATACTTTTTTTTTAATGGATGATCACCTAAAATTGACCGGAGGGGTCGGTGTCCAGTCAGCACCACAAATTTATTAATGCATAGAGTTTGTTACGGATTTTATTTATTTATAAATATTATCTACTTTATTTTATTCGTTTTTTTTTTCTCAGGATGCCCACTTTATTTTATTCTATACACTCTGAAAAAAAAATGTAATATTTTATGGGATTGGATACAAATAATTGGTTTACTGTCTAAAAATACTATTTTAGATGCAAGCCTAAAAATACCAAAATATTCTTAATTTTGTTTTCTATTGAATCACGTTGTTTTGTGTTCGAGACAATTAAAATCATTTACTAGCCATTTCTTTCTTCTCCAATGTATTAAAAATACTAATAAAATTTTAAAGATAACAAAAGCTCGTAAATATTGGCTTTGATTTTAAATTTTTTGTACAAATATTTTAAATATTTTTAAGGAAAAAAAAATCGAGTTCCTAACGGAACTAAAAACAAAATATTTGAATTAAATCCGAATTTCTTAATTCGCCATCAATTTTTCTAAGCACTTCATCTAAAACATTAGTTAGGAGCTGGCGCCTCACCTCTAGCAACATCATCTAACTGCCACGTGTTACATGCGATAACGAAACAGACACGTGTCAATTAGATGACCAAAATTGAAATTTAGAGAGATCCGCGTAGGAGCCAATAATAGAGTGCACCCTTTGGGAGGGGTGTGGAAGAGAGTGGACACCACGTGGCAATAAGCAATAGGGTGAGATTTTTAGGGGTGGGGGAGGACGAAAGTGGATTGTCGTTTTAAGTGATTTGCTGTCGTCTGCTGTTCCTACGGCGGCCATCAACTCCACGTTCGCAGTCCCTGGTATTGTTCCCTTCCTTCTCTTCCCTTTTTGTTCATTTCATGGTCCACCCACATTTATTTTTCGCCTCTTCTCCTTCCTTAATTCGGTCGACTAGTCGTTTTGAGATCAATTTTATTACTATTAACATTTTTTAAATTGAAATATAGCTTTAATTCGATGTTACAATAAAAGAAAATAATAATAATAATAACAGCGACTTTAGGACTCTATATTAAATAACTTCGTACTTTAAAATATAAACTTTTTAAACATCACGTTATTCAACTTACCAAAATTTCTCTAAATATTTTAATTGAAATTATAATTATAAGTATGCATTAAAATATTAATGTTCATAGATTACGTTTAAATGACCTTTTTTTAATATAGGATTGAAAAGATGATTATGCTTATTTGTTTGGGAGAGAGCTCTTATTGTATGTATACTCACGTTTGTTGTCTTCAACGGATTTTCTCAGCTTGATTCTGGTCAAATTAATCTATAAAATTAACAAATAATTGAACATTACAATATTAAAGTTTATTTATTTTATTTTTAGTTGTTTTGACAAAATAATAAAGCAACTCATTTCTAAATTTGATACAAGATGCCAAATAAAGGTAATATGTGGATTAAAATACAAGATCCCTTTTTCGAGTT